TATAGGCTTTCTCTCATAGACACTACAGCTACATAATTATAGGCGTCTTCTAATAGACACTACAGCTACAGGTAGACCACCATTTACTCACCACTTGGACACGTGTATGTTATGGTTTCCTAAAAATAGAAAGAAGAAAAACTGTCAGCATATATTACTTTTACATTTCTTCAGGGATGATTTAAGTAAACTCTTCTGATATAGTATGCGAAAATAGCAATGGAAACCCCCGGGCTGTTGACGTACACATATATACACGGTGCATGTATCACTACGCGCACGAGAATGACTGTCGTCATCGAGTGATAATGACAATGAGCTCAACAAAGGCTATTGAGTCAATTACACTTGAAACTGTAAACATAACATAATATAGGCAAATGGTCCTCAATAGCCGTCTCCCTTTGAGGCAGTTCTAGCTCCATCTGTGGTCGGTTAGCGTTCTAATTACGGGGTGAAATAGCAGCTCTACGATTAAAATTGGTCTGATTATGAAATAAAAAAGGACTAGTTCGGTTGTAAAAGTCCAAGAAAGGGACAAAATAAAAGCGGCCATTTTTGGCACATTGTAACAGGTGCGTGTCGTAAGTACCTCTTTCTACGTTAATATGTAAACTGAAGAGTTATGTAACGGTGTGTAGACTGTCCCACATGTATCAATGGTTTCCGTGTTACAGTTCAGGTAGTAATTACAATGTATCTGTGCGTTATATAATATTTCGCAATTTTAAAACTCAAAGCTAACCCGGAACTTACCCGGTGAGATCATCAACAGAAATAGGATAAAACTCGTTTCAACATTAGCGAGATCATCAGCAGAAATAGGATAAACCCCTTAGTCACCTTAAGTGAGATTAACAACAGAAATAGGATATACCCGGAGTCAACTTTAGTGAGATCAACATCAGAAATAGGATAAACCCCTTAGTCACCTTAAGTGAGATTAACAACAGAAATAGGATATACCCCGAGTCACCTTTAGTGAAATCAACATCAGAAATATGATATACCCCAAGTCATCTTTAGTGAGATCAACATCAGAAATATAATATATCCCGAGTCATCTTTAGTGAAATCAACATCAGAAATATAATATATCCCGAGTCACCTTTAGTGAGATCAACATCCGAAATAGAATATAATCAAAGTCATCTTTAGTGAGATCAACATCAGAAATAGGATATACCCCGAGTCATCTTTAGTGAGATCAACATCAGAAATATAATATATCCCGAGTCACCTTTAGTGAAATCAACATCAGAAATATAATATATCCCGAGTCACCTTTAGTGAGATCAACATCCGAAATAGAATATAATCCAAGTCATCTATAGTGAGATCAACATCAGAAATAGGATATACCCCATGTCATCTTTAGTGAGATCAACATCAGAAATAGGATATACCCCAAGTCATCTTTAGTGAGATCAACATCAGAAATATAATATATCCCGAGTCACCTTTAGTGAAATCAACATCAGAAATATAATATATCCCGGGTCACCTTTAGTGAGATCAACATCAACATCAGAAATATAATATATCCCGAGTCACCTTTAGTGAGATCAACATCAGAAATAGGATATACCCCGAGTCACTTTTAGTGAGATCAACATCAGAAATATCATATATCCCGAGTCACCTTTAGTGAAATCAACATCAACATCTATTTTGTGATATCTTTATCAGAGACAGACATATATCTTTACCAGAGACAGACATACATTGTATATCTTTACCAGAGACAGACATACATTGTATATCTTTACCAGAGACAGACATACATTTTATATATTTACCGGAGACGGACATACATTGTATATCTTTACCAGACACAGACATACATTGTATATCTGTACCAGGGACAGACATACATTGTATATCTTTACCAGAGACAGACATACATTATATAGCTTTACCAGAGCCAGACATTCATTGTATATCTTTACCAGAGACACATACATTATATAGCTTCACCGGAGACAGACATACATTGTATATCTTTACCAAAGACAGACATACGTTGTATATCTTTACCAGAGACATATATACATTGTATATCTTTACCAGAGACAGACAAATATTGTATATCTTTATAAGAGACAGAAATACATTGTATATCTTTACCAGATACAGACATACATGTACTTTGTATATCTTTACCAAAGACAGACATCTATTGTATATCTTTACCAGAGACAGACATACATTGTATATCTTTACCAGAGACAGACATATATTGTATATCTTTATAAGAGACAGACACACAATGTATATCTTTACCAGAGACATACATACATTGTATATCTTTACAAGAGACAGACACACATTGTATATCTTTACCAGAGACAGACATACATTGTATATCTTTACCAGAGACAGACAGACATTTTATATCTTTACCAGAGACAGACATACATTGTAAATCTTTACCAGAGACAGACATACATTGTATATCTTTACCAGAGACAGACATACATTGTATATATTTACCAAAGACAGACACACGTTGTATATCTTTACCAGAGACAGACATACATTTTATATATTACCAGAGACAGACATACATTGTATATCTTAACCAAAGACAGACATATATTGTATATCTTTACCAGAGACAGACATACATTGTATATCTTTACCAGAGACAGACATACATTGCATATCTTTACCAGAGACAGAAATACATCGTATATCTTTACCAGAGACAGAAATACATTATATAGCTTCACCAGAGACAGACATACATTGTATATCTTTACCAGAGACAGACATACATTGTATATCTTTCCCAAAGACAGACACACGTTGTATATCTTTACCAGAGACAGACATACATTTTATATATTTACCAGAGACAGACATACATTATATAGCTTCACCAGAGACAGACATACATTTTATATCTTTACCAGAGACAGACATACATTGTATATCTTTACCAGAGACAGACATACATTGTATATCTTTACCAGAGACAGACATACATTTATATCTCTACCAGAGACAGACATACATTGTATATCTTTACCAAAGACAGACACACATCGTATATCTTTACCAGAGACAGACATACATTGTATATCTGTACCAATGACAGACACACATTGTATATCTTTACCAAAGACAGACACACATCGTATATCTTTACCAGAGACAGACATACATTGTATATCTGTACCAATGACAGACATACATTGTATATCTTTACCAGAGACAGACATCTATTGTATATCTTTACCAGAGACAGACATACATTTTATATCTTTACCAGAGACAGACATACGTTGTATATCTTTACCAGAGACAGATATACATTTTATATCTTTACCAGAGACAGACATACATTGTATATCTTTACCAGAGACAGACATACGTTGTATATCTTTACCAAAGACAGACATACATTGTATATCTTTACCAGAGACAGACATACATTATATAGCTTTACCAAAGACAGACACACATTGTATATCTTTACCAAAGACAGACATACATTGTATATCTGTACCAGAGACAGACATACATTGTATACCTTTACCAGAGACAGACATACGTTGTATATCTTTATTGTATATCTTTACCAAAGACAGATATACATTGTATATCTTTCCCAGAGACAGACATACATTTTATATCTTTACCATATACAGACATACATTTTATATCTTTACCATATACAGACATACATTTTATATCTTTACCAGAGACAGACATACATTGTATATCTTCCCCAGAGACAGACATAATTATATACGGAGAGACATAGTGAGAATAAAGTTCTACAGGCATCTTACCTAGTTACCTAATCGTAAGCACTAAGGTTAGTTTTTCAATAGCAGGGCTTATTGGTCTAACCACGTTAACTTTATTAACGAAAAAGCTTATAAAAGAATCAATATACTAAGAATTTTGGAACACAGAATTGATAGAAAATCACTTGAAACTATGTATATCACATTTAAATATCCATTTCTGGAATATGCAAATATTGTAAGTTCAATCCAACTTGAAGCGGCACGTATTATTTCAAGTTTATATTTGGAACAAGTCATGATGTCTTATATAGAGAATCTGGTTGTATAACACTTAATAGAAGACGACATTTGCATTAATATATTACATTTTCTAAAATGGATAATAAGAAATGCCCCTCCCATATCTATGATGTGATTAAACCGTACATAAACTACAATACTGATAATTATCATCTTTCCCGCCTTATATTGTTTTATGTTCCAATACCAAGAACGCAGTTACATCATGCCAGTTTTTCCCGAAACTAATATATCAATGGCTTACTAATCCAACTTGCATGCATCCAACAACGACATCCATTGTTGCCTGTATCCCACAACGACATCCATTGGAGCTATAAAAAGAGACGTTTGACACTCAGCTGAAATGGATCATTAACCCCAATGTACTATTTTTAAATACCATAGTGATCGAAAATTAAACATTACCTTAAGTCAACTAGGAAACTGTGCCAGTAATCTGAATTCAGATCTATTTGAATCTCACCTAATTGATACCCCTGCCTGTTTATGTAATTATACTGATAATTATTTCCCCAGTGTTCTCTGTATATTAATCAAAGGCAACTTCTCCTGAACTCAATTTCTACCTTTTATGAAACTATTCCATTAAAAACTCATACGTTTCTATATGGATGTCAGAGACTCGATATCTATATGGATGCAAGTATTCTGGGGATGGTTCAGAGGCTCACTAAATATACTAGACGCTTGTACTAGATAACACTTATATCTAGTGTTACATGGCATTGCTGTGTGGAATGAGCACCATTTCCCTGATGTTTATCTAGTTTATATACCAACAATTTTCGAAATAATAATTATGACATACCATTATCAATATATGTTACCATAACTACAATAGAATGGGTCTAAACTGTTAACGCTGTAGGGAGGGGCGTTTATAGACTTTACCTATTCTCCAATTCCGTTGTGTCCAAGATCTGAACAATACATATTCTAAAATGAAAGAAAATTTTACTTTATTTGATAAAGATTTGAAGTATAGAATTAACCCCGGGACAATTTTGAAATGGCCATTCATAATAAAGAGCAGCAGAACTGTCTGTATTGTTAAACCA